AACTTACCGTGGTTTATAACAGGTGCTGAAAGTGACCTCCTTCTGCTTGCAAACATGCCGCGCATCTCACAAATAAATTACGCGACACTCTCTGCAGTTCGTCGACGGTAATTGAATGAATTACGCGTGTAATTTCATTTTGAAGACTATCAATGCTGCGGGGATTATTTTTGTAGACTTTTTGCTTCAGGTTGCCCCAAAGATAATAATCAGAAATACTGAGATCTGGGGATCTGGGAGGCCACAGTCCTCTACTGACAATTCTGTCTTCAAACACTTCCTGTATTGCGACCATGGATGCATTAGCCGTATGTGCTGTAGCGTTGTCCTGCTGAAAATACCCGTATTGTCTTTCTTCGGCATTCAACTGATCGAAGAAGGGATTCAGTATGTCATTAATGTACCGATCAGAGTTCACGGTATCGTGGAAAAATATGGGGCCAATGATTCGCCGCGGGCTTACAGCACACCACACACCCACCTTTTCACTATGTAATGGCACTTGCTGTATAGCGTGAGGATTTTCATTGCTCCATATTCTTACGTTTTGTGCATTGACGTGGCCACCAACGTGGAACCACGCTTCATCAGTCATGAATAGAAGCTGAGGATCCACTATTCCATCGTGTACATTTTGCAGCAGCCAGTTGCAAAAACGAATTCTTGCTGCATGATCTGGTTCTTTCAGCTCATGCACAACTGTTACTTTATACGGGCGAAATTTGATTAACTTTGTGGCTGTGCGAGCAGATCCTAGCGAAACACCAGTTTCCTGTGCTAAGCGTCTTAACGATTTTCGAGGACTGATCTGTAATCTTGCCTGAATATCCTTAACCTTTTCTTCAGTCAGCACAGTTCTCTTCGATTGCTTCTTCTTGTCACTCACTGAACCTGTGGCCCGCCACTTTTTCAGAAGCCTGTTTACACACGACTTTGTGGGAACTGGCGAGTCAGGATATTTCTGACGAAACCTACGTGCGAATTTTCTGTAAATGTTTTTCCTTGCAATAGTTTCGACAATAAACACACGCTGTTTAATAGTGAACTTCATTTCCACCGTCTGTCGACAGCTGTAAACATTCCACTCCACTTCCACAGCAAGACAAATTTATTAATGCAACCTCGGGTTCCGATTATGCAACCATCGGCGTAGCAGCACTGCAGTCGCGGGGAGGAGTTGCATCCATTCTGCGGTGGTATGACTCACGCAAATTGCAGCCGCGGCGCGCACTTGATTGTACACACTGTATATAAGATAAGATAACTTCATGGTTTTACTCTGCAAGCGAACTATAGATAACCTAAATCATTAATAACATATGCAATAACAGAATACCAAATATTAGTTAAGAAAAGGCAAATTTTTCAAAGCAAACATAATTTATGCATAATATTTGTATGAATATGTGAAGTGCATTTGACAAAAAAAGTTACAGTTCATCAAATGTCTGCTGATAAGTGAACTCCATTTTAATAATATATCAACATAACTTACATTCTATTGCAATATTTAATGCTGCAGTAATCAGCCGAATAATTTGTATCATGTGATTTACTAACCTTGTACCTGAAATAGCTGATATTACAACTCTCTTTAATCATTTCTGTCAGCTTTTAATTAAGTTCATTACCTATTATCCATCAAAGCTGTTTTTGTTGACACACAAGATAAAAATAAACATAATTCAACATTGACACTGGGGCATTTAATAAATTTTACTCTACATCACTCAAGAATTCATATGAACAGCAACATAAATATCAAGATGCACTGTATGTTAATAACAAATGATTAGGAAATGTATAATGAACATCTGATTAATTAGATGAACTTTACTTCTGGCCACTCGCCACTGTTAACAGAATCCTATGGTCACTAAGCTTTTGACACTGCATTCTGCTAAACAATGCTTTACACAGTTACCATTAGAAACTAAAAATTCGCTTAGTGGGGGGTGGAGTCCAACTGGATCCACTCGGCATGGTGGCCACTGATTGGCCTATTGTAGCCTGCCCTGGGTGGTTATGATGATGGAGAATTTGGTGGAATGAAGATTGGCAGGGTAAACCGTAGTACTCGGAGAAAACCCGCCCCAGCACCACTCTGTCCACCACAAATCCCACTTGACCAGACCCAGGATCGAACCCAGGCTGCCACGGTGGAAAGCCAGTGACTAACTGCTTGAGCTAAGGCCTATCATTAAAAACTAACTTCCTTATTCCATAATCAGCCACACATCAGACCAAAGATGAAGCTCTGAACTTAAATTTGGTGAGAGCTATGGCACATCTCAGAGGGGTATTGACTAATGGTAAAATAATGACTAGAAGGGGAAAACCAAAGAAATTTGGAGAATCTGCTCCAGCTCCAAATCATCTACCACAAATCTCACTGAAATCACCTGGGATTGAACCTAAGGATCCATGGTGAAGAGTCAGTGCCTAACCACCATAGCCATAGTATGGCCAGAGAATAATTCTAAAACATAACCTCTAAAATCTGGCTACATCTTATAATCCAATGCATTTTAGTCTGGAAAATATAGTGTATTTTGTTGATCTTATTAGAATGCCAAATTAGTAGGTGCAACACCTTATCATACACCATAAAATTCAGAAACTGACATCTCTATCACCATCTCTTGATTAATCAACAAGGACTTCAAAAAATGGATGCAAAATAAATAAACAAAAATGTGTGATAGTATACTCTTTCTTTTGGCATTTCACAATTCCAGAAAGCAACATTCTATCTGTAACAAAATAATTACAATATTTCATGGAGACAGCTGTTGAGTACTGCAATTTTAACTGTTCTAATATCAAGAAGCCAGTCTATAACAACACAGACTTGAAGACAATAGTCTTCTGCATTGTAATGATATGTAGTTTGGAAAGGGCATCATGTTTCTCCAAAACACTTGGCTCTTTTCAAATTACACAGTATTAAAACCCTGAAAACCCAGAACACCATACTCTTCACAGTCATTGGTATGAGAATCTAAAATCCAACATCACAGATTTGCTGAATACCACCTCCTCATAATTACATTTTCTCACTCTCTGATTATTAAAAATAAATACAAAGCACAGTTATATCAATAATTTTACTCTAAAGATTACAATAACACAAACTTACTGCAAATAATTAACGGGTAACTTTAAATTATAATAATACTATGTAATTAAAACTGAGTGGGACCATAAAGTTAAATGACTTGGGGGGGGGGGAGTTAGCAGGTGCAGTATGTAAGTTCTACTTAATATTACTTCCTCATTATGTAGATTACTTTTCTCAGATGTGACGCCTTGTTGTTCGGTAAAGGGGCACCAACATTTCAGAGCAGTCTATTGTCTATTTATTCTACCCTGAAGATGGAAGCAGCAGGTATCTCTGTAATGTTGGTATCTATTAACCAACCAACCAGTATAGGGACTCGTTTCAGAAGACAGCAGTCTTCACATTTGCTGCCGTGAGAACTTAAAATCTCACCTTGTCCTACTGTCATTTTGTTGTTCTTGCCCATACATTCTCTTCAGTGCTTCCTGATTATGCAACAAAAGTGAAAATCAGTGCCCTAAAGAAGAACAAACATGCTCAGGTAGAAACTATGGGAGCAGTATCAGTAGATACCATCATCAGTGGATCTTCTCTTTAGTGGTTAAGAACTGGCAGGTCTTGATTTGGAAGCACTGGTCTGGCTGACGAAGGCAATGAAGGATACTGTATTCAATGAAATTCCAGATATCTTAGTTAATGGAAGCAACTGTCTGTCAAATGATCTTTCTCTTCTGGCCAGCCCAGTGGAACAGAAAATGGCACAGACTTCAAATACCTTTCGACCATGCTTTTAAATACACTACACAGATGGCACAGACAGTGTGAAGAGTTCAAGGTTTATCCTGGTCACCTATTTTGTACCCAAAGTGAGCTCATATGCTTTGTTAATAAATGGTGTTATACTATTTCAATTAAGTTTTATAGTAAAGTCACTACACACATAACAAAGACTGTTTAAATCACTTACACACCTTCTACATATAGTGAAACTCTGTACTCACTCAACCACTCATGTAAGCACACTGATGTGTTTGAGATGAATAAACTATTAAAGACCAATGTAGTGTTTGCGAATGTTTGAACTTGCACACATATGACGTGGCTGCAATGTTACCGGTAATTCAATACCCACAAGAGGATGTCATGTGTAACCGTACGCATCCTTCACGGAGGTGTCTTATTTGTTTGTGCATAGCGATTGGGTTTGGCTGTGGAAATGAGATGCCCCAGAGGGATCATGGTCCTCTGAACTGGCCTTTTGTTGAGAGGGACAGAAGGGAGGTTGGTGAGTCCATTGCATTCGAGGGGGGTAGGTATACCTTCTTTTGTCCGTGCCTGTGGGGGTGGAGGACCTGTGGATCGAAGCTTTGAGAAGGTGTGCAGACCGGAAGGGGTCCATGCGTTTGGTCATGAAGCCCTCCCAGTGGAAGGTTCGAGATGGGTAAGAACGTGGTTTCTGGGAGGAGCGGCGGTGGTAATTGAGTAGTGAGGGAGTAGAAGTCAGGCAGTGAGGAGGTTCATGTGGAACCTGTGCTGGAGGATTAACCGATCGAGCCTGCATCCGAGATGACGTAAGCAAGCCAACACCCGTGTACCCCTGGGATACAAGACTCATACCGCTGAATTTAGTCTAGGCACTACACCGTGAGGAAGTAAAGCGTGTGGGGTGAGTGTACATGAAAGCTGTGACTTGCAGCTAGAATGTACAACTTTAAAGTTATGTTTTACTTTTTAATGTCATTCAGTTAAATAAAAAACTAAAAAACTAAAAACAGTCAAATAAGATTGACGGGAATGAACAAGCTAATTCTTTAAACACCAGCTATAGGCATAATTAAAAGTTTCTTTTTTAATTTTTAAAAATTTGTGGATACTGGCAAAATTCTGTTTTTAAATCTGTTATCAGCAATAAAAACACAATGAAATCACATACCACAGATAAAGGAACATAAATTCTGTATATCAGTCTTATTAGTTACAATAAATAATCTAATTCAATTCTTTGAACACTTGAAAGCGTTTAGTTGCTGATTATGTGTTCTAATCACTCTGAGAAATTAACTTAGGTCTTTTGTATACAAGGACAGTAAATAAATACTAAAGAATTTGTAGAAATGCTGCTTACCTGATGTATTACCAATACATAACATCTGAGGTTTTCACTGTCATGAGGATTCATATTGTGATCTTGTGAGTTGCAACACCGTGTAGTCTGGTTACCAGTTTTTCAGAGGAATATATAACTTTCATCTTTGGTGTATCCATGTTCAGGCAGGTAGTTAAACCCTGAAGATGGCATAAACCTACCAGAATACCAAGTGTCATAACCCAAGAGAACTCAGTATGAGTTAGCATTTAATGAGGCTTTATAAACTGTTTAATTATGCAATGTTGAGCACAGGTCTTCGAACACTGATTGTGAAATAGGAATACCACTTTGATGTGGGTAATGCTATAGGAAGTGAAGCATACGAACAAGTATAGTTAGAAACAAATATATTTACAACAAGCGTAATTGTTTCTGTAAGTGTTATCTTATAGTAGACATGACCACTATTTTAGACATCCATCTTCAGTTTTCTCGAACATGATGATCTGCGAAGTACATCTGTTTCCATCTTCAGATATATGGGAGAAAAGGTTCCTATTCAGCTGGATGCAAGGGAAACCTCAACATTTGGTGGATAAGTCATGTTCAACAAAAATATTTACACTTGCTGCATAATCTTTTGGGTATAGCACAGCATCAAGAAATAAAAATACAATTTCAGGGTTGATTCTAAAGATAACGTAACAAATTCAAAATGTCAATGCTATTTTTACTCCTTCGTATAATATTATACCCAGAAGATGACACAATGAAAACCTCAAATATCATGAAAGTTTCACATTACATTTCACAATACATATCTATCAGGTTTACCAGTGAGCCCTACAGTTTTCTGCCACTGTATTTAAATAAAACTACCATACGCCAGTTGGATATGATGGCCAGATGAACTGCACTTACAACTGCAATCAGACAATCGAAGACAATGACTCTGCCTTGCTGCACCAAGTACACTTCAGTTCACGTCCAGAGGCTCAGTCCAGCGAAATGCCCTGTATCCATGAACTCAAGTCACTGGTACCTTGATATTCCATTACAAGTTCCTGTGGAGACTGATGGCTCAGCAAAACCTGTGCAGCGCTACGACCAGTGAGATATGCTCCATGTACTGTGGAGTAGAAGTTGCTGTGTGTGTGTTCACCAGCAAATAGCACAACTGGCTGCAAATGTAATATTATATATGAAGAGAGAATTGTAACCCTGACATACCCTTGGAGAAACATGAAGTGGATTTCAATGTTGGACATTTTGGCAGACATTGATCAAAAGTATATGCCACAATAACACTGTTCTGTGGTAATTCCTCACAGATTCAAACTCTGATCTCCTTCCACACCACTTTCACTTTAGACTTGTAGCAAAAATGTGAAATGCGATGTATACATGTATTCATACAGTAACCACACTCATACAGTAAGTAAACTTCCAACTTAATAAATCTCTAGGTGAATGCCTTTCCCTACACTACAGAGTTTATGCAAAATTACACCAAAAAAATGTTCACCTCCTTATAAATATTACTGTATTAATAATTACCTATACATGCAATAAAATGTATAATGATGCTACAAGAGAGAATGGCAACACAGCATGTCAGTAGAGCACAACATACCATGCGTGGCTGAAACTACATATTTCAGCCACATATGGTCATCACAAGGCAGAATTTAAAAGTACAATGTCTTTATGATACACCAATAATATTATAGACATGTGAGTTCTTGTTTTACCTGTCAAACACAACAAAAACAAACACCAAATAACCCACTCACATTCCACTGTGCATATTTGGGTTTATTTGGTTGTACAGTCACACTGTACAACCATTTGCTTCGTCCAAATATTTACAATTTATGTTCTTTCCTCAAAGAAAGAAACCATGTTTCATATCAGTACATAACTGGAAGAGATACTGTTTTATAAATTTTGATCAGCAGCATACAAGAACTCCAGTCTTAGTAGCAGATACAACTGTGAGAAAAATCTACATGTTCATTTTGTTTGAAATGGCAGACTGGTCAATGAATGAGATAAATGCACAGAAATATAACTGTACTAGAAAATGAGAGGCGTAAACCTTACCTTATCCTGCTGTGGGTTCGCATAAAGAGGTTGCGCTATGTGCTCTATGTCAAGGTGACTAGCCCCAACAGCCATCGCGGTGTATGAACCTCTTGTGTATGGCTGTTTGTGCCAACTTGTGCTTCAGATAAACACATACAGAGAGAAATATTAGAGACTGTTTGGTCCATTTATTGTTAATATTTTCCAGTCAAATGTCAAGGTGGAACATATACCATATTTCTTTCTTCTGTGCCAAATACCAAGGGAGCTGACATTAAATTCTGATACAATTTTTGTTCTTATGTAGTCTCCTGCCACCAGCATGCCTATTATACTATGTCTGTTAATGAACAACTCATTTTTATCAATAAAAATTTCTGACACTATTAATTTGAATTACATGGAAAAAAACCAACCATGAACTGGAATTTCTGTGAAAGAATTTTTAAAACTTAATTTGCGTGCTTACAGTGCTGCATATAACAGAAATAATGGAAGTGTTGTTCGCTCAGCTGGTCCAGAAATTCCCCACTTTTCGTAGAACCCAAATGTCCACTACTGGCCCCTATCCTGAACCACATGAATCCAGACTACACCTTCAAATTCTATTTTTTCAAGATACATCTCAATATTATTGGCATCTTCCTACATGCACATTGAATTAGGCCATGACTGCTACCTTCAACAACCTTTCCAAGTCACTATTCATTATTAGTCAATGCTTAAATTCTATAGAGCCTGAGTTACTGATAAAAAAAGGCAAAACAGGTGAAGTTGTCCTTGTGCTTAACTAATTAAGCACTACGCCTTGAAGGCATATGGGGGAGTGGATGTACAGATCCACATTTTCTTGACCTTGGCACTAGTTGGAGGTGAGTGGTCAGCTTCATGCCATGGCCACTTCACCCCTGGGGAAAGAGCCCCCAGTAACCATTGGATAGAAAGTTGGGTGGACCTCACAGCCAGTCTGGACGGCTTGGAGAAGAGATACTTCTTTACTCTAATGGACTCGAACTCCGATCTCTTAGTTGTCCAGCCCATAGCCAGTCGCTATACAGACTATGCTATTCCAGCACCCGAAGTTACTGATAAAGGTAAGGTAAAGTTGTCCCTGTGCTTAACTAATTAAGCACTATGCCATGAAGGCATATTGGGGAGTGAATGTATAGATCAGCATTTTCTTGACCTTGGCACTAGTTGGAGGTGAGTGGTCAGCTTTGCACCCCTGCCACTTTACCACCAGGGAAACAGCCCCCCATATTCATTTGATAAGAAGCTGGGTGGGCCCAAGAGCCAGTCTGAACAAAATGGAGTAGAGAAAATTCTTGCCCTTACTGAGACTTGAACTCCTACCCCTCTGTCGCCCAGCCCATAGCCAGTCACTATATCAAGTAAGCTCTTCTGGCTCCGAGTTACTGATAATGTCGTTAAAGAAATTATAAATACAAAAATAAACCTAGGTCTCCAAAGTGATCACTCTCCTACAGGTTTTGTGACCCAAATATTGTTTGTAGTCCTCATTTCTTCCATGCAAGCTAAGGATATCACACAAAGTCCAAAAAAAGTTTAATAATCAGTAGTATGTTCATATGAGATAGGGGGAAATGCAGCGTGCATGGGAGAGATAAAAAAGTATGTAAAATTTTTGTCAAAAAATCTGAATCAAAAGATTATATTAAAATTCATCTTACAGAAATGGGATGAGTGTGGACTGGAATCATCTGACTCAAGATGGAGTCAAGTGATAAGCTTGAGTGAATACAACAAACCTTTGGGTTTCATCTAAAGTGAGGAAATTCTTCAATTGCTAGGAGACTACTAGTTTCCCAACAAGGACTGTGCTCCACTGAATCACTCCATACAATATGCCCAGTCCTCTTGGTGGGACACCCATGTCAGCGATTAACAAAGAGCCAAGTGAAATATAGCAGACACAGGGTTTGGACTGATAACAGGATTTACTGAATGCTTATAACTCAAAACTACAACTAATTATAACACTCTCACTAGTTGGTTGGTAATGAGGTATAACACAACTCAAGACTGCGGACTGGTAACCACTGACCTTGACTGTCAGCTTCTGACTTGCAACTCAAAACTTCTGATCCATGACTAACTCAAATTAAAGGTCACTTTATGATGGGCGGTTTACCGCAAATCAGTTTGTCTTGGTATCAAACACCTTTAGACTCATCACATGACAAAGAGACCTATTTTTTCCAACAGAACCCTTGCAGTCACAGTACTTACATTACACCCTCTCTGATGAGAAGATGGGTGTGTCTCGTGTAAATATGCTTTGTCTTCCATCATGTGCATGTATCGCACTTACAGCATGTTGCTGAAAATTCTTGCTTTTGCGCTGCACACAAGTACTCTGTCAATACAGTGAAACCTCAATTCATTGTTTTCGTCAGGGTCCCTGAAAAAAGAAACGATGGTTGCGGGAAACGACTGATGTGGGGCCTATATACGTAAAATGAATGAAAACGGTCACATCTGCCTATATGTATTAACTAAATAAAAAAAAACGCAAACCAGTGATAATATTTCCATTGTCAAGTCCAATTTGCGTTACTAGCTTTTAAAAAAGTAATTAATTTTCATTTGTTTAGTAGCACCTTTCCTTTCAAGCTGAATAATAATCTTTCAATATTAACAAGGTTCGCTTGGTCTGTTTCGGTTATGTCGTGAGCATATATGAACGCTCTCGCTGACTCAAATGCATGAATTGCTTCCGTAAAACTGGGCACTGGTTCGGACTCGGCTTCATCGTCATGATCAGGGGGGTGTAACTCCCATAGGGGAGAGGGAAACATGCAGACCAGCCATCTAAGAACATTTACATGAACTAGGTAGTCTGGTAATGACTGGAATCGATCATTATACACCTATCGCATTCAATCGAATCGCGTAAGTGTGAGCCAATCAGAGCGAATCAGAGGATCTTAAATTTCCGTTGAACGATTTTGTCTCTTCGGCGTGGGGTTCCCACAGTAAAACGAGTAAAACTGCGTAGCTTGTGAACGTATATGTACGCAATTGAGGTATGTCGTGCAATTAATTAGATTAATTAGTAAGTAGGGATTTGATTTCATGTAATGAAACGAGAGTCCACATTTACGCATGAATTTACATCTGCGTGTTACTTATGTGAATGGATTATGCTTACTACGCCCAGTGAAATTAGAAACAAACATGAAGTCAGTGTTACTATGATACGTCAGCCAAAACGTATTTCTGTATTTTAAACATCTTTCGGTGTAGCCTGAAG